GCAAGCGCGTATGAGCGTAAACGCTCTGGCATGAAATAAGCTACCAAGAATACATAATAATGCCTAATACTACTAGGGTAAGATTAACATGATAGTACATTATGGAAGGTGAGTGACGGCTTAAAGAATTAAACAAATACGGAAGTGATGAGACATGGGAAAAATTAATCGTTACAGTAGTGGTTTCGGACCATAGATATCTGTTCTGGGCCAGGAACATTGGATTGGAACCATAGATTCTGGTCTAAGACCACCGATAGTGGTTCAAAACTTAGAATTTTGGTTTCAAATCGTGTTAATAAAGAATGTTATTCTTTTGCTCAGACAAAAATATATAAATCCCAATTGCGTAGTTCAGCACATACACCATTGTTTACTCAACCAAAAAACATCTATCACCCTACGCCGTGCAGAGGAAATTATCTGCTAACACACTTTCTTTCACATAACCGATTCTCAGGTTTATGCTTGTAACCCTGAGTTAAATTGATGTCGCTGTGGAAGAGTCTCTCCCGAAATTACAACAATACATGCATCATATACAGTTTAGCCCTGATAGTTAATGGTAATAAATATTTTAGCAACGGCCACTTTCCCGACAAAATTGCCAGAAATAACCCTAATCCTATAAATACGAACTAACTTGGAAAGTAGTTGTCGAGAAAATGATAGGATTCGATGTGAATTTCATGGAGGATATTAATGGAGGGTCTTGAGATCTCGCTATTCTGCTCTTTTATTAAGGTCATTAGTCTTTCTTGCTTTCGGGTAAATATTTATGGATTTAAGTTATAATCTCGACAAATTGCCCGCATTAGGTATAACTGCGGTCAATTTTTGTCAGGATTTCGTTGATCGAAATTTGATCCAAACTAACAATTATGCATTACATTCGTATTAACAGATCTTGAATGCACTCCCATACCAAATAAATTACAACCTCTGGATAACACTTATCAAAACAAATAGTAACAAATAGTAACAGCATACATAAATTTTAAACTTATACCGATTATGAAATAACACGTTATTATTAAATTCATCTGTTACGAATTACACACATTAATTAAGTTATATTTCATAAATCAAAAATGACGCGTAGCATAATATACCAAAGGTGAATCTTATTTTTATTTTAATACATGTTATATTATTTGATTTATGCATGTATAATTAAACTGAAACTGGATATCCTGCCTGTGTAATGTAGTCCAGCCATTAGAATAAATATGTAGTACAGTAGTATAGTTATTAACACTTTTATGAGAATGATAGGGATTGGTTAAAACTTGAGGTTTCCTTTCTCATGATTTGAATATGATATCACGATACTATTATCCTATTTAAGTCATAGTAACGTCATTTGACATCACTGTGACACTGCTCCTGCTTCACTATGATAATACATTACATACTGCATAAACTGTATTTCTGATATCTATATAAAAAAAGTATCAATAAAAAGCAACCCCTAACGCTAATGCTAACCTTAACCCCCAACCGCTTTAAGAGGTAATAATTTACTGTTGCATGTATAGCGTCAAAAAATACCAGATACAATTTAGCACCACAAAATGAATCCAACATATAGTGATAGTACTCGAAGCACCCAAATCCTGACCAAAAAGATTAAACTTGAAAACAAGATAGAACCTCATATATTGGTTAAAAATCATATATCAAGAATTTTTAAAAATCATAAAATATTTGCGGTTTCCTTCCAATACGATGATGAAAATTCCGAAAAAACTGTTCTTAAACAACCTTACTGTTCTAATGGTTTCGCTGCTGCCATTCTACATGCCTATAATTATCATAAACATTTACGTTTAAGCCCTGATGATATTTGGCTTACAATTTCTCAAGGTGTTAGTCGTCATATTAATTATAATTCTGAAAAATTTCGTAATAAATTTGTTAGAAAGGGATTAATTTCAGTTTTTGTTGGAGATATCATATCCGAAGGTACTCTTGAAGGAAATTGGCCAGAAGTTGTAAACAGACTTGTTACGAAAACTGATGAGCGTATGGGAAAAATAGATTTGAAAGAATTATTAGAATGTAATTTTTCAACAACAACTTCAAGTTCTTTAGTAGCAAGTCGTATTGTATTATTAGATAAGGTTAAGTCTTACTTTAATTATAAATTACGTTTTCGATGTGGAATTCCAAAAATTACACTTGAAGGAACACTTCAAGATTGGGCAAAGCTTCAAGAAAAAGTTGTTCAATTAAGAAAATTGAATTTAGAATTAGATTTTTGGTTAGATCGCCTTGAACCTGTAATTTGGAATTTAATAGCAACTTATCTTGGTGAGGTTGATGAAGATTTTTGGGGTAGAATTGTAAAAATAGATAAAGTATTTGGTTCTGGTAGTGGCACTTTTATCACAGGATGGATGTTGGCTTTCTTTCCTTATAATCGAACGGGATATCCTATACAGCACGATAGGTTAGAACTTTCTGATATTCCTAATGGTAGTATTGAGGTTCCTTTTACCACAGATATTGGATTAAAATTAAAATTTACAGCTGGATTTTTTGGTGCCAGTCAAGACATTCTCGAAGATTCAATTAGTGAATCTGTTGTTTCTCCTGTGATTGGGTGGTCCTTTATTGATGACATAAAAAAGGATTCATCTAGCAAGAGAATTTAAAAAATGGGTTTCAATTGATAAATGGTTTTAAGGCTTACAATGTTATTTTTTTTTATTTATCTCGGTATTAGATATTGAAATAGATCATAAATGTAAGAATTTATTTATCTTTATTGCTTGTGTATATTATTTTACTTTTCGGATTTATTTGTCTGAATAAAAAATTTATCAAAACGTTATGAGCATATATACATGTAGAACAAATTACAATTCGTAATATATTAACAAAAATAGATATAATCGTGTAATACAATATTTTATTCCTAGTAAGATATTTCTTATTATAATTCTATACTTTACTTTACAATAAGACTATTATAAGACCATTATAAGATTATTTTAAGTATTACTTTAATAATTTTAATATAAACCCGGCATTTGAAGATAGAAAGATCTTTATTAATGCACTTCATAGGGACCAACCTTCTAACAACGTATACAATCAACCTCCCTAAAAGCATCTCAAAGGAACCGTAATCTTGACAGCTTCCATTTAGAGAATAATAAGAAACATTGCATTTATAAAGGTCTGTATATATTTGAGCCAGTGTTTAAGGTTGTGTTTAGAGAGGTATTGTTGCATTTAAAGAGGTCCGAGAACAATAATAAATGCATTTATGGGAGTCAGGTACAGTCAACCTCTCTAAATGCAACTCAAAAGGCATAGAATTTTTTGACAGCTTGCATTTAGAGAATAATAAGAAAAATTGCGTTTATGGAAAGTTAAAAATTGCATTTAGAGAGGTATTGTATTTAGGACGGTCGTATTTAGAGACTTGGAGTTGTGATCTGGTTTAGAGAGGTGTGAGAATTTTCTGTACTCTCTCTTCAAGTGGTCATTTAGCTGAACTATAATAAGGTGGGCAAATATAATTTCAAAGCTAATTTTAAACTAACATTATCGCGGTTTTCGAAATGGTTGAAAATGAGTAAAAAAATTTTTTTCGAGTATACCCGTAAACTGCTTATACTTGTATACCGGATTACCCTTAGCAAAATCGATTGAAGATCGATGCTTGATTTACTATCACTATGTACAATACGTACAGTACGTATGTATGTATGTAATCAAACATCGATCTTAAATAAACGTGCTAAGGTAATCCGATATATGAGTATACACAGTATATAGGTATACTAGTGAAATTTTTTTTTACTCATTTCTACCATTCGAAAACCGCGATGATTTAATTAATAGCAAAAAAACTATATATTAAAATGTAAATCAAAATTCAATTTATCATTTTACTATATTACTGTACTTTTAATACCTATTATTAATGAATTATTCCTTATACCAGTGGTCATCCCTATTAAAATTAGGGTAGGGTTAGAGTGCAGCTTTAAGATAAATAGAGGTTTTTATATAAAATAGCTTTTTATTTATACCGGGTGTCCCGAAAGTTCCTATACACGGCCCTTTTTTTTTAAAAAAAAAGACCTCATATATAGAGATCACGATGATACTTAAAAAAAGGGAACATGTATAGGAACTTTTGGGCACCCGGTATAACATAATATAGATTGGATATAAGGTCCCGATAGCAGTTCTCGTGAGGTTTTCAGGGTCCCGAACATTTTTGCTTAGAACCTCGACCATATTTACTTTGCTCTGACCATAATGAAATTGGATTAAAATGGATTAAAATGAAATGAGGATTTCTATTTAACCTACTACAACCTACCTTTTCCTGTTTATTATAAATTCTACCCTTTAACCCTAAAAAAATGCCCAAAAATGCACACAATAATTTTATTTTTCTGTGGCTTGTCTATTTGACGCTATCACTCATCCGTCACATTAATTACAGTTAAAATTAAAAAATTATTGTTGTAATTTTAAAGTATAATAATAATTATTTAAATTAATACTGTATTTTTAATTTTACTTAGATATTATATTTTGCGCCTATAGTGTCGTTGGTGTTAATATGTTTTTGCTAAAATTTAGGGTTAGGTGTAATTACAGGTAAGGTAGAGGTTAGCTATAATAGTTCAAATTTTAGTTAATAATAAGGTTTTGGGGATTCTGAACATTTTTACTTAGTATTTTTAATCCTAATTAATACATTTTTGAGATATAGTGCCTATGGTGTTTAACACCTATTGTGCACAATAGTAAGGCCATTTTACTTCAGTAAATATATATATATATTTATTTAATTAAATTAAAAATATAAATTTTGTATAAAATTAACTATTAGTCAAGAACAAATTAATTCAGTGGTTTACGTTGCATTCCTTCTCAAAAGGGGGAGTGAAAAATGGAACGAATAGTAAATTTAATAAAAATTTTTAATCGGAAATTAACGGCCTGACCTTGCTCGTCTTTTATGTTCGCTCATTTCTCTTCGGAGTTTTTCGGATTCTTAAAATTTTTAATCTTAATTGCACCCATGCTCTCCGGCCAAAATCATATATATATCCCTAAATTTTTTTTACAAAAGAGAAAGAGGGGAGGTAATGTAAACCACCGAATCAAATTGGTCCAGCCTAATAAATAATATTGTTAAGAATATACATATATTTATATTTGCTGCTACTAATATTATATAAGCACATATATATGTTTTTTAAATCTTTCTGTATTAGCTTATTTGATTAATAAATGCAATATTTATTAAAATATGATCTATATTTGTTATAAAACTTTCAAATAAAATTTTCAAATATAAAAAATTTTAATAATAAACTAGGCCTAAGTTGGTATTTACTTTAAATTAAGAACGAATCTAGTTGTTACAAGATGTCATGTACTTAAATATAACAACTACATTTGTATTATGGCCAATCAAAATTTAACAACTACTGAATAATTGCATAGTTGTAACATGTAATATAATATGGTATCAAAAAAATATTTACGCATCATATTGATAAGAAATTTTGCACCATACACTATAAAAAAAGAACAAGTTTGTTTTATAACAACTCAAAATAATTTGTTAATTGAAAAATAAGAAACTTCTCAAAATATACTAGTAGGACCTGTAGAAGTGAAAGCTTTCATAATAAGAAAATTTTGTAAGCACATGATTAATGCTTTTTACAAAGTCATTTCAGCAGACTTTTTATAATGAATATAAGCCATATATTCATCCTTTTCTACTCCAATTCCATTCTGATAACAAAAAGCAAGGTTATTTATCCCAGCAGAATTTCCCATATCGGCAGATTTCTGGTAATAAATAAATGCCTTATGTTCATCCTTTTCAACCCCAATTCCATTTCGATAGCAATAACCGACACTATTTATTCCGTCAGCATCTCCAATATCAGCAGATTTTTGATAACAAACAAATCCCTTATAACTATCTTTTTCAACTCCAATTCCTTTTTCATAACAATCTCCAAGATTGTTCATTCCAACTGAGCTTCCCAAATCAGCAGATTTTTGATAATATTTGAATGCCATTTTTTCATTCTTTTCTATTCCAATTCCATATTCATAACAAAATCCAACACTATTAATTCCATTAGTGTCACCCATATCGGCAGATTTCTGATAATGAATAAATCCTTTATAATTGTCCTTTTCAACACCAATTCCGTTTCGGTAACAATAACCAACGTTATATATTCCACTAGCATGACCCATATCAGCAGATTTTTGATAATAAACGAATGCTTTACTTTCATCCTTTTCAACACCAATTCCCTCATTATAACAATAACCAACATTATACGTTCCGCTGGCGTTTCCTATCTCGGCAGATTTTTGATAATAATGAAATGCCTTACATTCATCCCTCTTAACCCCAATTCCATTTTGATAACAAAAACCAATTTTATTCATTCCATGTGTATCACTCATGTCGGCAGATTTTTGATAATGAATAAATGCTTTATATTCATCCCTTTCAACACCAATTCCGCATTGATAACAATAACCAACCATGAAAATTCCATGAACGTGACCCATATCAGCCGATTTTTGATAAAGATTAAATGCCATGAGTTCGTCTTTTTCAACACCGATTCCATTTCTATAACAATATCCAAGACTGCATATTCCATTAGCGTGACCCATTTCAGCAGATTTTTTATAATAAGCAAATGCTTTATCTTTATCCATTTCAATACTTATTCCATAAGAATTCACCATATTGGCAGATTTTTGATAATAAAAAAATGCTTTATCTTCATCTCTTTCAACACCAATTCCATCTTCATAAAATTCACCAAGATCATTCATTAAATAAGAATTTCCCATCTCAACGGACTTTTGACAATAAAAGAAAGCCATATTTTCATTCTTTTCAACCCATTTTCCATAACGATAACAAATAACTAGAATGCCTAGACATATAGAATTAAATTGATTATTTAAACAAAAATTGATTAAGTCGTCTGACTTTAGTTGATTTTCTTTCAAATATTGATTCAATGTATTGAAAATTTCGGGGTCATAATTTCCTTTCAATAATTCTTCATTGTATAAATTGTATATTTCATCAATCTTATTTAAAAAATCTTGAGAAATAACATTTGAAGATGAGTCTTCAAAAGTGGTTTGAAAAATTTTTTCGCTTGACATCGTAATTTTAAATGATTAAAGTTATATATGTCACACTTTTATGATAAAAATGTCAAACAATCCAGAAAAAGACGTTCGAATCTAGCACAAGATTCTTAAAACGATAAAATAATGTAACTGTGTTAATATTCGTATCAGTATTGGCTATATGTAAAAGAAATAACGAATATATCCTTAATGTAGTTACGGTACGCAGGTTTTGTATGTGCCGTGCATGCAAACTAACCATTACGATTACGCAAATATGTGGTACAAAATATATAAGTTTGAATAATGTGATCAGATCACCGTAGTTTATATAAATTTTTAAATGAATTAAATTTAGAGATAGTGATAGTACATATTAATTTAGTATTAGAACGTATACTTATGTTAAAATTAAGGGCTAAAAACTTTTATTTAAATGCCCAATGTTGGTTGTCATTATAATCAACTTAAAGATGAAATAATTACTATTTTATAT